AGAAAAGCTCACAGAAGGAAAGGTCATTGCATGTTATTTAACAGATGTGGATGCAATGATTGTTGGCTAAGGAAATTGTAAACGGCAGGTTGCTGGAAGTTGGGGTGGTCTCCTGTGACTGGTATTCCTGTACGCTTGTCCTGTTCTTACTTCCTCTTAAGTATTTGCTGCTGGCTGTTCTCAGGCTGTTTGGGCAGGTTGGATTGACAGCTGCATTTCTGATAACTCTGCACTAAAAAGTTCATCAAAATGCAGGATGCAGAACACCATGGAAGCTGCAGTAGGTATTCTGTGGCAGCAGAATCAGTTGAAAAGAGCTTCTTATTCCACAGCCACTTCCAGAGCAGAAGTTACCACCCAAATTTTACCCAGTTGCATGTTTGTCTGCCCTCAGACAAGGCTGGTGACATGCTGATTTTCAAAACAATACTTGTTTTTAAGCAGGGCATGTTGCAGATCAAGTTTAAAATGCAGCCATGCACAGTGAGACAGGTACTGCTGAGAAAGGGTGATTTGCAAAGCTGATGGGAACAACTGGCCGGGAGGGGGAGAGTTCTTTTGCTGAAATGTGCAATTCCACCTTTTGTGGTTGATTTACTTTCAGGAGCAAAGAAAACAGGTGAGACAAGATGGGCTGAACACGAAGAGGAAAAGGGAGAGACGTGGGGAGAGACAAAATGGGAGCCTGAGCAGAAGAAAAAAGATTAGGCATAGCCATCTGGAAGACACTTGATACCTCCAGTTTAAAACAAGAACAAAATAAATACATAAAACTTCATTTCCCTGTATGTTAAAGGACTGAATTAGATGAGTTCAGGATTTATCCCTTTCGTATAAGCTATTCTGATGGACACTTCTGCCAGTGTGTGCCAGGGAGAGATTGCTGAAGGAGGAGGACACGTGAAATCTTGCAAAGTATAGATGGAGGTGAAAGCTCTGCATATTTAAAATGTCAGTTTATCCAGTTTTGATAGGCTCTTAGGTACCTGCCACATACATGGCAAAGCTATCTGCATTTCACTTTCAGAAGTTTAGGCCCCTAACACAAAAGGTGATGGGATTGAGTGCAAGAGAGAAACACTTATGTATTTAGAAATTAGTTTGCATATGCGGCTTATTGAAAAGTTTCTGGCTACAAACAAAATCAGTGTTCCTATATTGCCCCCCCTTTTTTTTTTTTGATTCCTGTTTAGGTTGTCTTCAAAATTACAACACAATTTTAAACTGTCTTCAGTCTATTCTCATTACTTCCCTGAAACTGGGATACCAGAAGTAACAACTTGTCACTCCCGAAGTGCTGTCACTGTGGATTATATTTTCTTTTCTGCAGCAAATGATGATATTGCTGCCCAGCCAGGTAAGGAAACCTACTTTAAGTTTTTTCAGGAACGCTAAAAGAGAACATTCAGAATCTGTTCAAAGGGAAATGTAGTGATAATTTCCTCTGCCTCCTCAGAGGTTCATGGTGGTGTTTTGATGTTAGCTGTTATCTGAGAAATGTGGCTGGCCTTGTCAACTCACTACAGTTGGGCTTGCTGTAGCGCCACACGGGGCAAACTCTGTCACCTAATGAGACATTTTTGTAGTTGTCATCTCAGCATGGAAGCTGAGAAATGAGGCTGCAGGTAAGTAGTAGTGTAAGTTGTGCCTGGGAAATGTTGTCATTTAGTAGTAACTCATAGGAGACCTTAGTGGCCAGACCAATGACAAAGCCATATTTCCTGTCATTTAATCAACGAAACGGTGAGCATCAGCTTAACGCTGTGCATTAAAGCTGATAAAGGAAGAGTTTTTCTTAGGTAAGAGTTTTTCTCAGATAAGCTTGATATAGTGTTTGTCAAGTAAATGACCCCTGTGGCCTCTCCTCTGAGAGCAATCACTTGTACAAGCCTGGTTGTCGCTATCCTGGTTGCAGTTGCAGCTAAAACTCACCAGATGGTGCAAGAAAGACATGGTATGTTTGAGGGTGTATTTCTTGATGGGTAGCGCATGTTAGCAGTGAAGCCTGACAGCATTTGTGCTCTTACTGTGGGTACTCCTGAGCAGTAGACTTCCATATTGTAGTTAGTCATGTGTTTTATCCTGTCTTCAAAGATCATTGCACAGTACAGTGTTACCAGATAAGTGGCTCTGCAGAAATTGTAACAAAGAAACCTGGATTTCACGTCTGCTCTCGGTTTAGATTTCAACTGTGATTTTTGCAAATTGACACTGATTGTTTTCATTATGTGAATTGAGAATACTATCTTCATCTGTCATACCTTGGGTCATAGACTGTTAAAATTTGTTGAACCAATGCATGAAAGCTTTCTAGCTGTCCACAGCAAATGCTTTTTATTTGATATTTTGCACTAAGCTGCTTCAAAATATAGGAATAAAAGCGTTGACTGAAAGCCTAAGAGGTGAGAAGTGGCTGAACTCCTTCTGACTTCTGTGATTTAAGGGAGTGCAGTACCTTGGAATATTGAATCCTAATTCACCTGCTTACATATGTTGTTGCAGTATCATTGCCCTAGCAGTGTTAAAACTGCATATGTGTGTGGTTCTGTGGTGTTTTATGTTTAGTAGAAAGAACAAGTCGAGCCTCTGCTGCACCTATTTTTTTCAAATAGATTTTTTCACTCTAAATTTGAGCACAGAATTGGAGCAAACCTGAATGTTCCAAGTTTAAATTGGTTTCTAAAAACTGATAAATGGAAACTAGACTAATGGTCTAGATTTTCCATTTTCTGACGCTTCTCTAGCATACGAATTGTTCACAGTAAGTACAAGTAATTATTTGTTGCAGGCTGAGGCTGACTGATCACTTTTTTAGCTCGTTCAAGGCATTTTTTTTTTTTTTTGAACTTTTTCATGCTTTGGTTTGTGTTAGGCTCAGGCAAACATTTGGTTTGGTATTCAGGATTTGTTGTGAAAACAGGGTTCAGTAGCTACTCGAGTAGTGCAGGACTCAATTTTGTTGGTTCCAGAGTGCTCTGAGCTGCCATTAATCGTTGCAGGCAGAACGAGCTCGCTGTAGCAACAAGCTGTTGCTTTGTAGACATGCAGGTGCTGCACTAAATGATAAATTTGGCTTAAGAGCTGGACAGACCTGTGCTCTAGAGCTGTCCAGACATCTTTGCAGAAAGTAGGCTTTTTTTCAAAGCAGCAGTAGCACCTGCTGGCCTGTTAGAGCTCTGGAAAGCTGGTAGTCGGCAAAGGAGTGAAGCTGCTGAACTATCATCTGAGGGGGTTTACAGTTGCTAGAAAATCCTCTGACTGCCAGCTGGTAAGCTGCTACTGAGCACATCAAGCCAGGAAGTTCTGAAATTGCTGATAACTTTGATACAGAAAAAGCTTTTGTCAAAGTTACAGCTGCTGTTTACGTTGTCCATGAATGCACTCAACCCGCTCAGTAGCATCTCTGAAAGCAACAGCTAGTGCTGCTGAATAGTCGTCTTATTCAAGTAGGCAGCTCAAGAAATGTAAAAGTTGGGCATATTATTGAAGATCTTCCATCAAGAATAAGATCCTTTACTTGAGTTGAAAAAAGCTATTTACAAAGTTTTGCAAACTTTGGCTTTGTTTAGCCATGTTGTTTTGTTAGACTATAGGACTGGACTGTATGAGTCTTGAGTTTCAGGCTTTTTCAGGACCATGGCAGTGGGGTGATAATGGGCAAATCCCTTTCCCTTTCTTCCTCAATTTCCCCCTTGTCAAATAGGGGGATACGGTGGCTTTCTGAGCACTTGGACCTCTGTTCATTAGAAGTCCTACTATGAGACTGTAGTAATAAATTCAAGAATTTCCAAACTACTTTATCAGTGATTTTGCATATCACACTAATGACTTCAGATAACTTCTACCATACTGTACTCCCTTTTTCTGCATAGCTATGAATGTGTGGGGTTTTTTTCCTTTTTTTTAAGGAGCAGAGGATTCTTTCAATGGAGGTCTGAAACTTCTTGGTAGACTGGCACTTCTAACTGAGCAAGATCTTTGGACTGTTAATGGTCTTCCTAATGAAAATAACTCTTCTGACCACCTGCCATTGCTAGCAGAGTTCAGACTTACTGAACGGTAATACCCAAAGGACTTTTTGTATAGCTCAAGTTTCCTTCACCATCTCTCTTCGTGTAATTTTTAAAAATTATTTTAAGCACTGCTGGTTCGGTTTAGATGTGTTTGCCTGCATGCTGATTTGTTAGTGGTGTGTAAAGTAGACTTTTTAAAGAGACTTTTTTTTTTAAGGTTGTTTAAATTACTTTTTGAAGTCCTTAAGGCAAAAAGAAGAGTTTACATTAGCTTCCTCTTTTTGATAATGGAAAACATCTGTGCCAGTCTCAATGGCATTATTTTTCACAAAGATGCTGTAAATGGTTTTTATTGTAAACCATAGTAAACTTGATTATTCTCTAAGAAAAGAACTGTGTGGTTCTTGAAGTAAAGGGGAGTGAGTTTGTGTGCCTGCCACACTTTATGATGAGCTGAAAGCAATGTTCTACTACAAAGTTGCTCTGTAGCCACCTCTAAATACTTCTGCAAAGTGATTTCCTCAATTACCTAGAGTGTAGCCAGTGCAGCGGCTGCAAGATTGGACTATCACCAGAAGAAGGTGTTTTTGCAGTAAGGCAAATATTTATGCTGGAAAAAGTTATTTCTTAAATTCTCCAAAGCCTAAGTACTGGTAGTATCCACTGGAATCTTTTAAACATACCTGAAATAAAACCAAGGTTATTGGCCAAGGAGCACTTTAGCAAATCAACTAAATTTCCTAGAGAAAGAAAAAAAAAAAAATTCATCCAAGTCTACATTTTGAGGCTTCATATATGAACATAGGCATATGAACAAGTGGATAAAGGCTTTTTTCCATTTAAGTTGTTAAAAAAAAAAACAGAACTTGAGTATTTAAATGACAGCTCTTCTGAGATATTAAATAGTCAAGATTTTATATTCACTTTCATAATGCATTGATAAACAGCCTCTGTGAAACAGACTTAAAATTAAAAAAGACAACAGCCAGAGTAAGAAACTGGGTGAGTGGGGTTACAAGTCTTGTAACTTGGTCAAACTACATAGGGATAGCTGTGTAAAGCTGACGCATTATACTTAAAAATGACAGGGACGCTGCTGAATAGTTAAGTGGCCACATTTCTCAAGGTGGTAAAGCTCAGCAGGGAAATGTGGAGTTTTCAGAAAGTTATCACATGAAACAGTTAAAGCACTAAGGTATTTGTTCTATTTATTTCATTAGTTCATGTTATTATCAAAGGACCACAATTATTTCTTTCCCCTTATAAAAGGGAACTGTCACCTAAAGCATTCCCCCTCCCCAGTTTGATGGCAATACACCATGGGAATAGGCTCAAGGCTTTAGTGACAGGAAAAAAAGCAGTAGCTGCTTGACATGATGCAGTAATCATTGCTGCCACCAGTTTAATGGTCTTTATTGGTCCATAAGAATGTATTTTCAGGGTTTGAGACTTGTTTCAGTTTTTAATTAGCCTAACAAACACATTAATGCTTAGCTACATTGTGTGATTTCTAAGAGCTTAATGCTTAGAGATTATAATATATAATAGTAGATGAAGTGAGTATTTATTTATAAGTCTTAAGATCTGGCTCAGTTGATTCCTATTTGGCATGTGTCTTGATTCAAGACTGTAGGCTAGTGAAGTGACTTAGATATCTTCTGGAATATCATAATCTGGACAGTGATGTGTAACATCCAGTGTTAAACAAGACAAAAAAAGAGCCTCGTCATTAAAAAAAGACTACCATGATAGTTTATTAAAGTTTCATGCTGTGTATAAACATACAAGTAATTGGGGTGGTGGGGGGGTAGGGAGAGCAAGAACAATCATGCATAGGTTTTTCTATGCTACTTGACCACTCTGCAGTGAGCTAGGAAAAGAAGTCACTAGAACCACAGTTAAGACAAATGCCATCATAAGCAAATTTCAAGACAATATTTCAGCTGAACTTCAAAACAAGAATCACCCCAAAAAACAGTTTGTCACACAGCTCTACAGCTTAGAAAAGTTTCAGTGTAAAAGTTGGCGGTTCAGAGAGACTAGTTCAAATTGCTCTGGACACTGGTTAAAAACTACATACCAATCACCATTACGTGAGTTGAAGAGAAGTAAACCATGGTTTCAGAGATAACAGGCTGCTACGGATACTGCTTGTCAAGATTTAACAGTTTTCCACATCATTTTACTCATGAGAAATCTACAGAATACATGAAAAATGTGTTTAGGTCACAAAACACTGAGCAGCACAAAGGTTAAAACAAACTCTGCAGCTAATGTCAAATTACACAACAAGAATTTCTAAAAAGAATATTTCCCTCTATGCCTCAATTTCACTTCTGAGCCAAAAAAATTCTCATTGTGAACATAGGAGTGCAAAAGGTTATTGAAAGAGGGATGGGAAAGACCTACCTCTAATGATAAAAATAACCTTGTATAAAGAAGTGTAATAGGTTTGAAAAGTCTGGTCTCTAGCTTGGCCTTGTAAAGTCTAATTACTGGAAAGTGTTTTACTGTTATAAAAAGTTCCTGGCTTTCTCTGTCTTCCTGTCCTAGGTAACTGAGATCCATTGACTTCTCTGAACAGTGAGGTCTGTGCTACATGCAGTCATCTCTTCCTGTATTCATTTCATCCTTGGTTGATCCAAGGAATGTTCTAGGAGTTTAAATCATTCATTTTGAGCAAGCATTATTGTCATTGCTTTATGATGCCCTGTCTTCTCAGAAACACCCATAAATAGAGCCCAAGAGGGGAGGTACGAAAGGCCCATGGTTATATCATCTACAAGCACAGCACAAAGGGTAGAGGCTGGACTTTGAGAATAATCCAGTTTCCATTTAGGCACCTAATGACATTCTTTCAGGAATGCAGCACTAAAATGTTTCCAGAGAACTTCCTTCACATGAAGGATGGACCTCAATAAAAGTCTGGCCATGTCACTTAAACACTACCTTCATCACAGGTCGTAAGCTAAGCCTTACAACAAAGGCAGAGCAGGGAAGAAGCAGACAAGCTTGAGGTTTAGCTATTTCTGACATGCAATTTGTTTTATTGCTGAACTTGTTCCAATACAAATTTCCTTTTTCAGGTCTGACTAAATGGTTGTTATAATGCATATAGGAAGAACTCCCTATAGTAACATGTTGGAAGCATAACTTCAGTCTGTGATGTCTGATCTTAATATAAGATGTCAAGGCATCACCATTTGAGACTGCTCAGCCTCTCAGAGACAAGGTTCCAAGTTACACAAACATTGAAAGAAAAATTTAAAGACTCAAGTTAGCAATTCTAACTTTTTTTTTCCCATTACTCCAAGAATATATACAAGAAAAACTGGCACTACAGTGTGAACTCTTGTCTCTACAAAACAGCGGTCTCCACATTTTGTGCTTCAGCAATGTAGTTTGAAAAGACTAAAAGCTAAAAAAAAACTACAAAAGTTTCTTAAAAAAATTATTGGTCAATTATCTTCATTTAAAAAAACCAACAAAACCTCATCTTTTCCATAGTAAGATGTTAGTGCTTAAGAATACACTTGCATATTACTAAACCTTAACTTCTTTCAGCAACATGCATAAAATAGTAGTACAGGTGGCAGAGCACATCCAGCACTGTTTTAATACTACCAGAAATGCTGGGAGACGGTACAAATTAGTTACAAAACAATAATACTGACGATTTTGCATATCTATTAAGTTTAGTGAGGTAATGTTGACATTAATGCAACTCACACCACTTCTGCACTGCTTGTTTTTATTGCTGAATTAAATATTAATACTGAACATGATTCAAAAGAAAAGAGCACTGCATCTCAGCACATCTTAACACTAAGATGATGATTTCATAATCATCCCAGTGCTACCACCCAGCACAGTGCCCAAATTCAATTAAAATTTATAAAAAAAGTTACACTTAAACCCATGTACCACTGGAGTCACCTCCTACATGATGGAGGAAAGAATCCCACATCCTAGCGAACAGAATTTTAGGTTCTCTTTGCTGATGCCATTTCCACGAATTGAAAGAAAATAAATATTGCCACCAGAAGTTTCCTGTGTTCTGTTTTTTAGTACAACTTTAATCTAAGGTCCACAAGCTAATAAATAGTCTCATTCCTTCTTCCTTCCAATGGAGTGCAGGTAAAGTGCAGCAGGAAGCACCAAGGAAGCCCTCTGTCCAGCCTATGGCTTTGCTAGATGCGGAGCTGATAGCCCACCTCGTTGAGCGTTGCCAGATCTGCTTTCTTGTCCACCACCGCAGGCCTGCAAGCAAAGGAGTAAAGAGAGTGCTGCTCAACAGCAATCTGACACCGCTGTGTAGGCATTGATAGTGCACTCATAAGACCAGGTCCAGTTTACTTCAAAACAGGACTGCATAGATCTGAGTTTCTCATCACAAGCACAGTTGTCCTGAATTCCCATCACGCAAGTGACATTACACGAGCTAGTCATGTAGGCTCCCTCTGAAGCCAAGCACCAGCAAAGAACAAGTCATCCCATCCAAAGGTAGGTGAACTAAGACTGGGAGCGCCCTCTCCCTCTGATCTGAGAGGCTGCCTAAAATGACAAGCTAAGACTAGACATATCCCACTCTTCAGCTAGCCAAGAACACAACTCCAGCTTTTAGAATAAAATGAAAACTGCTGGGAGAAGCTGAAAACAAGCCAGCAAGGCCTCTTACATGGTCAGTTTGATGTCCCTCTGACCCTGCCATTTCCTCTTGGTTAGGTCTGTGTGAAGGTCTAGAGCCAGCCAAGTAGAAAATAAAAGATGAACTCCTTCGGCCTCCAAGCATGTTATATTTTGATACAGAAAAGCCACTCACTTAAGTGAGCGCACATATACATGTATACTGTTAGGTCATTTAAATATATTTAACAACCTTAAGCAATTGAAACGTTTAGAACCTGCAGTCTCCCTATTTAGCAAACAGTAGACGAGATCCTGCAAAGTTAAAGCTAAATAATGCCAGTGGTTTATAGCTGGTGGAAGTGTCTCATGTGGGGGTTTATTCCAGGCTTTCAGCTATTTTCACACTAAGCCTTATGTGCTGCCTTTCTTTAGGAAAGCAAACAAGTTCTCCCAGTAGACTCCACAGTGTATCCACCTCACTGCAAAAACACAGCTAAAGCCCAAGTAGTAAAAGGTGAAGTTGGTAAGTACTCCAGTGCTGCCTTCTCCTGCAGCTCCTTAGACCTGTTTCTCCAGTTCTTATGTGTACTCTTCACTCACTGTGCAGCAGATATGACCAGTGAGTTTGCACATGCAAAGCTGATATTTAACTCCTCAACCCACCCAGCCTGCCCCACTTCAGCAGTGGTCACTTCAGGCCACCAGCCTATTACTTAGCTTATAAGTAGTCAACTGAAAAACTCTTTACAGGGCTCTATCACCTGCAGGAAGGGATTGCACTTGAGATCTTTGTGATGTTGTCTGGATTTTTCTGCTTTATTCCTTCAGAGAAGATGGGATTTGATTGTCCAGAAAACAAGCTACAAGTTCCATCCTTCAGAGCTTGTGCAGAAGCCAAAGACCAGTGAAAGATGCATTGTATGAAACTTCCTTCATATACAATGAATAATGAAGGAGGGAGAGCCCTTCCTTCCTAAATTTAGGAAAAGATCCTCTAACCTTTCCACCCCTTTTTCCTTCCCCCACCTCAAAACCTGGCTTTAATTAAAGCAAGCCTGGATGGTTCTACCTTCTCCAATGATCCAGGAAAGATGGGGAGTCACCGCATACCTGTGCTGAGTGGCCCATTTACATTGCATCACAGTCCTCCAGCTTGTAGCTGCAAGCAGACTGTCCTCCGTAACATTTCTCTCCTTAGGGTGTTTGGAAAAGGCAAGGACTTGTTGGAATGGAGGCTTCACAGCCCCTTTTTCTGCTTGGCTAGACAATGACCAGAAGCAGAACATCCCCTACAAAGCGATTATGGTTACAATCGAGCTGTGTGTTCTCAAAGCACCAGGTGGAGCAACACAGCTACTAGACATTATATGGGTAACTGTTATACTGGCCGAGACGTCCATCAGACTGTCTGCAGTGCCATTATGAGTATGTGAAGCTGTCGATAGCTGCCTGGTACACAGCATCCATGGGCTGTCTTCACTGCCTGCCTCCCATATCCAAATGTACAGTATTAACAGAACTAATAACTCCAAATTGCCTTTCAACAGCTAAATTAGGCCAGAAGTATACAATTCAGTGTTGCTGTGACCTTTACAGAGCATGCATGTGTTAAGCCTCATATTTTAAAATGAAAAGGAAATACCTCTGGTGAACTGACATTCAGGAGCAGAAATTGCTTCAGGCTACCACATTACACTCCCTCCCAAACTCAGATTAACACTGCCAAACTCCTCCAGCTCCAAACACTCCTATTGAATAAAATGCTGCTTTGCTTGTCCCAGCACTGTGGCTTGCAATTTATTGCACTCCCCTCCCTTTGGGCATAAGAGATGATGGGCAAGAGGACACAGTAAAAGCCCACAGCTGCTGTGAGGTAGTCCTGCTAGGAGTACATGGACTATTGCCCTAGCTCAGCTAATGAGCTCCTGTAACTTGACTACACCTCAGTCTCCTAGGGCACAAGATACCCTGTGTGCCCTGTAGCCACATGTTCAACAGGAAGCATTCGCAGGATAAAGTGCTAATTGAAACTTGCCTTCAAGTAGCAAACAAAGCAAGCATTAAGTGATTTTCAGGGGAAAACAAAATAGCTGAGGAGATTCTTCTCCATAGCATCCTTTCAGCTGTGCTACATAATTAGGAATTCTCATGCATAATCTAACCTTATTATATTTCACTTGTAACTGTGCTCAGTGCGCAGAATGAATTAGGAGGGATTTTGTTCTAAAAGCCTAGATTATAGTTCTCCTCTTTAAAGGGTTATGCAGTTTGCTAACAAACAACAGAACAAATGAATATATCGATTTGGTCATTTACAAACTATAAACTGGGTACCAACCGCTACTTGAAAGCCTGAATGCAAAGACACTGGCTCTGTCTACAGCAGCAAGTAGTGCAGCCCAATGGAAGTGGGTATGTATAGTAACACAGCTTGTTGCTCATGGCCCGACATCCTTGCACTAATCTGTGTTCTTATACAGGAAGAGCTCGAATCTTTTCCCAATGTGCTGCATGCCCATTAGCAGCTGAAGAATATTAGGCACACATCTGCCAGCCTAGCTTCATCAAAAAAGGAGCCTGTTTTTTATATTCCAGGACCACTCTGCAACAGTGGTCAAAGTGTGGTAAGAGAAGCAGGGGACCAATTTTGGAAGTATGCTCCTGTCCAGGCTAAAATGCTATCATCGGCTCACCAGCAGTCACCACAGGCAGACAACCAGTTAAAGGGTTGAGTCAGCAGAACCCACCACTGCCTCCAAGCCTTGCTTCAGACCTTGTCCTTCAGAAAGCAAACCAGCGAAGCCACTACAGTTCATGATGCTGAGCCTTAAGTATTTTTCATTGGGAGATTTTCCTAGGAGGCCCATATAATTTATTGTTGACAAAAAGCAGGCTGTAATAACCACTTGCCATCAGCAGGTGAACCCTCTCCAATGAATGCCTTCTTAAGCCCCTGCCAGCTCACACTGGAGCAGAAACCTTCTCTCTCCCTCCCCTGTGAGCTCTAAAAAGCTATAATTAGAGCATGCAAATAAGATTCATAAAGAGACAAAATGCAGTGTCGACAAGGACTGCCATTATTTAGGAGGGAATTCAGCCTAAGAAGTCTTGTCTAGAAGTCTTTCTTCTTCTGTGCATAACACAAAGGCCTCTCACTGCAACTAGATTCTCAAGAGTCCCATCAATATACAGAAGAAAATACCCATTTTTGCCTCTTCCATTTCCTCCCTCCTGTCAATTGCTGTTTGGTATGCATCACTCAAGCTCACCTCTGAATGCATTCACCCCTTCAGACCTCAGAGGCCTCCCGCAACAGTGGGCAGGAACCAGCAGAAGCTTGCCTTTGGAAGTGAAACTGTTTCACCAGCACTAAACTCCTTATGGCAGGAGGTTCCCTCTGCAGTGTCACTCCAGCCAGGACAAAGGGCACAGCCAGCCTTCCAGCCACCAACACTACTGGTCAGCGCTCTAAAAAGCACCATTTTAACATCAGGAACCCAGTTCTCTCTGGTATCACTTTTATAACAGAGAGTTTTATTGTGATTAATTTGCCCATACAGAACACTGCTGTTCTACGGCTAGATTCGGAGCGCCTCATCACTAAAACAGGCATCTAGTGGGATTTCCCAGAGGGCCTATATACACACTTCCCATGGGACCAGTGGGAGCTGGATGCTCCAGGAAGGTACATGCACATTTTGCATTTCTTCAGTACCAAACTAGCTTTCAAAATACTAAGTAACTCATTCTCAAGTATTAACAAAAATGCACAGTTACTGAAAGAACTGTCATCTCATACAACCTTTTTCAACTGAAGTGTTTGAACACAAATTCATTTCACTAACAAGAAGCTCCATTTTCAGAGGAGTCAGTAAGAGCAGCCCCTGCAAAAGAATTAGGCCAGTTCTGAAGAGCTCAAGTTCAACGCTTAGATCTGATACCTGGAATTCCCAGGTTAGAAGTACCCTACTCCAGAGGTACCTGTGCTACAGACAAGTTCAAAATCATCTCTTCACTGCTAGCAGAAATCTCCTTCTCTGGAGATATTCAAAACCCGCCTGGTCTCGATCCTGCGCAGTGTGCTCTAGATGACCCTGCTTGAGCAGGGGGGTTGGATTAGATGATCTCCAGAGGTCCCTTCCAACCTCAGCCATTCTGTGAAAGGACTCTGACTACACACAGTGTTAAGGCCATCTTGCATGTGCCTACAGGCAGCTCGTTTGGCTTTACTCATACGGCATACCCAATCAGTCCTCACTCCAGGCTCAGCAACAGTGCTGACAGGCCTCCTCCACAACACAGCAACTACAAGTTGGTGCCAGGTGCCTTCTTGAGGTCAGGAGGTTAAATATTGCAAGTTGTATGTGAGGATACCACAACCAGGTTACAACTGGCAGCACTAGAGTTGGTTTTTTTTTTTTTCCCCCCCTGTGATCAGCCTAGCAGGCAACTGACTCAAATTGTCTCCTCCCTTTGAGGAGGTGATTAAATGCAGCTACAAGAGCCACTGACTTTGGTGTATGCAGTTCTAAAAACTGCTCTAAAAACTGCCCTAAACATGACTCACTGCTATTCCAAATGCATTATAACAGCAGCCTCAGTGTGCCCTCCCTGCAGTGACCTCCACCTGGGACCCCGACTTTGAACACTCACTGCCCCACAGGCAGATCACTGCAGCACCATCACTTAGGTGGCTTGAGGGAGATGGAGAACATTGATCTCTCTGCTCTTTATCTATTCTGTGAAGATTCACATAGGGGAAGAATTTATTCCCTAAAAGGGGAGGGGAAAAATAAATAAAAGTGCCTCAGGTTTTCCCTGCCTGGAATTTTATAATACCTCTTACAGACGCTTCTCCAAGCGAGCTGACAAACTTTAATTAAAAGGTTAATTTGATACAAACAGTAGGCATTTCCCCACTCTGTTTCTTAAAGTGCTCTACAAACAGCCTCATTCTGTGCCCTGGAGATGAATATAAATCATCCCTATTTTACAGTGGCAAGCTGAAGCATAGAGAGGTAACAGGACTCACCAACATTCATACAGCAGCAATGTAAAGCTGATTTGTCAAGCACAAGCTTCATATCTTAACCTTTAAACAGTTCTTCCTATAGCTTCTAACAATTAGTAACTGCATCCAGAGACCTGTATCTTGCTGAGCACCGGACAAAATTTCATAGATGGATAACCGGAGGCACAAGGAGGTCAAGGCTCGAGTATTCCCATCACCAAGACACAGTGTCATTTTCCCAAATCTCCCTACTGGGTAAGTAGGGTGACTTTAAGCCATCAGGCAGCCCCAAAACAAGAACTATTTGCATAGCCATTCCCAAAATAGCTCTGAGGGCCTGCTGAAGATACAGCAGCCTCCCTGGTCTACCTAGGGGCCCTGGAGTTGCCTAAGGCTCTTTTGCCCACCTCTTGCTTGCAAGCATGCTGGTCCAGGCTTGTCAGGGGGCTGCACAGGACCTGCAGGGCTGTCATGCGGCTGCAGAGCACAGCCTCTCAGTCTCCTGCTCTCAGCATTACAACTATAGCTAGCTCCTGAGTCACCATTATACAAGACCCAGTTTTATTTTAGAGTAACATAATGCACTCAAGACACAGAGCAGCAGAGCAGAACAACTGAGCAGGTAATGGGTGCCGAAACCATTGCAAGGCCCCCAGTGAGGCTACTTGTACTTCTCTTATCCTTCTATCCTGGAAAAGCAAAGCAACAGAGAGGCAGCCAACTGCTACAGAGCAGCCACGTGCTTAGCAGTTCTCTCAGGAAGCCAGCTCAACCGGCTTGTCTCCCCAGGCCAGCAAGACTCACTCTTCTCTCCAAATGTATGGGATTCACTCCAGCAACTGCAGAGGCAGTATTAGAAACCCAGAGATGAAACCATGCCTCAAAGAGACTCTAGGAAGTAAAGCAGCCTGGAGTAGCAGGGCCTATTACAACTATAGGGCATCCACACACTAAACAAGGAGCCTAAAGTATAGTATTGTGGACTTGGTATGAATTCACATGGAAAAAATAAAAGCCTGCTGTGAAATCACCTGCTGCTGAAGTATCTTAAAGTTATCTTTAGAAAGCCAATATCATGTCTTTGTTAGCTGCTTTAAAATAAATAAGTGCTGAGATAGTAGTTTGGGAGCCTATTTAAAAAGTGATGATCATAAATATGTGACTAATCCGGGTCACGTATAGGCTTTCACAGGGGTCAGCCTTCTGGCATGAAGTGTGTAGCTGGAACACAGCCTCTTCCACATCTAAGGCACAGGTGCCTGAATCAGTGGTGGCTGTAAAAAACCCATGACCCGAGGGCTCAATTTTATCCATTTAGAGGTGTTGCGTGCAGTTAGCCCATCCTTCCCCACTCAGTTAAAGGGAAACAATTAATTACCTGCTATATATGAGAAAGGTAGTCTGTTTTTTAAACCACTTAGAATCAAAGTATCCAAAGTAAGTGATATTCCTGCTTTGGTAAGAGAAAAAGACTTACTTTTTCCACATTCCCTGCAAGATGGACAGTTCAAAGTGAAAAATGCTACGTCAGCAGAACAGCCCAACACTACAGCTAATCCCAGAGAATCCACTTTTTATCTGAGTGACCATGATAACAAGGACACCCCACCATCACAAGGTGATAGGTTCTACTATTTTCATACCTACCTGTGAACACCCTTCAGTGTGATCAAACTACTTTCTTTTCTGTAAAGGTCTCCCACCCCCCAAGCTAGGTTCTTAGCTTCTCCAGAAAGTAAACTGTACAGAGACTGAAAAAATAAAAGATGAAACACACACTTCCACAGTCATCCAACACCAGGTAGAGTCAGACTGAAAAGAGGCCATCTAGACCTCAAAAGACACCGCACAGAGGAATAGTCAGGCAGCTGGTAAGTAGTAAACACAGCAACACCACAACACTTGGCAGTACTGGCTTCTAGAGCTTCACAGGTAACCAAGATACTTGTTGCAGTTTTCTTATAGATGCCAGTGAGCGTACGCAAGTTTCGTACAACAAAATAATGTCACCACCCTCAACTTTTGTCTCAGTGATGGCAGCACTGACAGTGCAGGAATACTCACGATTTGTCTCTCCTGCATGCCCGTCTCTGAGGGCTGGCCTGCCTTCGACGAGGGGACAACGATTTACCCCTTGATCTCTCTTTCACTGGAGAATGGGCACTTGAGGGTTTCAGAATCTGCAAGAGATGGGGGAGGGAAGGAAATGCCATTCAATAAAGGCAATGATTCATTAAAAAAAAAAACACGCCACACACACACGCCTTAACAGTACCAGGGTGGCACACAAAGAACCTTTAGTCTCTTGGGATTTTTTCACGTTCTGCCCAGGTTAAGAGGTACTCAAAGCTGTTACCATATGACAGCTGTTCAGGGGCCCCTTGCAAAAATTATTTGGTGTCATCAATTCAGTTCCCAACTAAGTAGTTGAAAACAAACAAAACACCAAACTCATCCAGTTTTCTTCAGAGGTGGCAACAGCGAGGGGCAAAAAAACCACTGTTTTGACCTTCAACTGAAGGCTCACATAGCCAAATCGCATTCTCCAACTTCTCTCTATGTACAAAGGCCATTTGTCTGTAAGGCAGGTGGTTGATTCTCTGGGACTGACTTCGGTGGGGCCAGGATTGCATTAAACAGTCTTACTCGTGTGTGCAACGTTAGATGCAGGTTCAGAGCTTCGGTCCTGTCCTTGAGACATTGATAAGGACTGGATTCAGCGTCACACCTCAGCACAAACAGAGCTCAGCCTTTTATCAAAGGCAAGTACTTAAGTTCAGTGAGTTATCCTTCCACGTATACTTATTTGACTGGAGACCACTTCAGCCATTTGCTCTCTAGAGGGTACTGAAAGCGCATTAATAGAGAAGGAGGGGAATAGGCTTTTCTACATGTGTGTTTGAGCATGTTTACCTAAGATTACATGACAGTACAACTTAGCATGCATCCCAGTCCATGCTGGCATGTTGCCATTGGCCTCTGACTACACTAGCAAGAGTTGGCCATAGCCCCTTCCTGGCACATTAACCTTCTTCCCCCATGACACCACTTCTATTGGATCGGCACCTGCTGTGAGCCTTGGGCTTCTCTGCTGCCACCACCACGCCTGGTTGGCAACTCGCTTCCCTCAGTCTGTCCCCACATCCATGGAGAAACTCCCTGATCGGGAGTATGTTGGGAATTGTCGGGGTATAAGAATTAGATTCTTTATACTTAAAAACTGAGGAAAGTCATCTTTTAAAGATCTGACTAAAAATAAAAGGATGTTTCCCCAGCAGCCATAGGGCAGATTCAGCTCAGGCAGAGCCTCCAGCTCCAAATTCCTGCTTGCGTGGAAGAGCAAGGCAAGTCACACCTTTCATCTTCAATGTAATTCATGGTTACACTGGCACTGATCAAGTGCAACAAGTCATTTCATGTTTAAAATATGGGCACTGAAGAGACTCAGCATGCATAGAGTCTTATCCAACTGTCATGCCTGGTGGTAGCAGACCTCTTCACCAAAGGGAACCTTGATGAACTTGCCAACTCCTCCTGGCACTGAACATGTACAAATGGCTGAGGCTGGGGGTCACTTCACATCATCTTCTCATCCTCCAAAACTCCTTGGTCAGGGCAGGAGACGTGGCAGCAGGACACAAGGGTGGCAGCCACCTATTCCACTGCTCACAACCCCCCCCCCCCCCCCCCCACACACAAAACACACAGCTGCTGCATATGAGCCATTCCTCAGCAAAGCGGAGAACAGGAACCCTGAATAACTTGGACCTGACACCACATACTTCTACAGCAGATCCAGCCCCATACTTAGCAAGTGCACCTGTTCTGCTCCAACTGCCAACACATGGCTGGAAAGGCATCAAATGCCATTTCACTGCAACTGAAACCAACTCCTCACCCATACCAGTCCTTCAGACACAGTCAGGAGCAACAGCCAAACCCTCCAAAAGGGCGGCAGCTCACCCTTTCTCCCATTTCCCCTCCAGGCCATTCAGTCTGACCAGCTAGCAGGGAAGCACAAGTCCAAGGGGAAGGATGAGGAAAATGAACCATGCAATCTACTTCCTGATTTAACCCAGGAACAGACCCTGCTGCCCCTGCCCACCGATGGTGGGATGCACACAGCAAAGGGGTGAGCCCAGCAGCACAGTCTGAGAGGAGAAGCCATCCACGGCAACAACACATGCTTTCTGTACCCTGGGGACAGCTGGCTGTCACACTTCTAGCACAACTCCTCTGCAGACAGTTTTGCATTGCTAATCCGATAGAGAAAAGAGCCGCTTCTCCTGTGCCTCAGGAGGCCACCACTTGCTAATGCTCTGCTGGCCTACTTAGGAGCACAGAGCAGTACAATACCTCAGCAGCATCCACCCACGCTGCCCACCACAACTACCCAATCACACTACTTTCCTTCATCTTCTCCCTCAGCCCCCTGCAAGGACGAGCTTATGTCCTCAGCAGAGGGGCCAGAGAAGTCTTATTTGGGGGAGCACAAAAGAGAATGGAGACAGCCCTAATCTCAGGCCACTGCATGTGAAGATTTCAGATATGCTTCAATCTCACCAGCTGGGAATCAGCCCTGCCAGCACTTACCGCCCTCGACCACCGGCACTCAGCACATGTTACATCAGTTTCACAGCATCCCTCGCACCTTAGCTGTCCAGGAAGGACAGCAAACAGTAGAGATCCCTGCCAGTGACCAGGGCATGCACCTACTCTGCCAGCCCTGGACCCAGCCCCAGACTCACTAGTTCTTCTTGGCCATCATCTTCCAGAACACAGCAGGAAGCATACAAATAGCGACCCACGCATTAGGTCCTCGCATCCAGGGACAGGTATAGGGTTCAAGTGTTTCCTCAACTGAAGGAGAGATCTTAGAACCAAACAAAATATTTAACAGTGCTCAAAAACAGAGTGTAGAAGAACCACTGAAACAGATTTAAACACAACCCCAGCCCACCTGATGCATTTTAATCTCACTTGGGCCACAGTCAGTCTGTTGAAACAGAGCACAACTAACCTTCACGGGATCAGACAAAGCACATCCATCTCAGAGTACGTTGTAAGTAAATCACAGCCCAGACACACACACCTACCTTCATTCGCATATCCCTAGCAAATTTCTCCAGCTCCTTCCTGACATCTGTGCGCATCATCTTGGATACATTGAGGACCAGTTGTTTCCACTCGATGGGCTGAAAGCTGTGTGGTTCATGTGGGACATATAATCCAATTTTTACTTTTTTCACTGAATGTAAGTACTTTTTATAGGAGTCTTCAAATTCAAAGATGAGGTCACTCAGAGTTCGATAAGTTAAAGGTTTGTCCATCAAATCTGATCGCCTGCTCATGCCCAGTGAGCCATATCGGCCATTGCAGTAAATCCCAAGCACCACATGATGAAAATAGTTCCCTGAGAAGTGGGTTTTAAAGCTGATGGGGAATCGTTCCACAGAAGGTTGCCCATTGGTTAAGTATCTGGCGGGCACTGCATCAAGGTAACAACAGAGTTGTGAAGGGAACAAAACAGAATTACATCTGTAAGACATCTCTAGCAGTTTAACCGCCAGGATCTGTGCTTTCTTACAAACATAAATTCATTCTCATTGTACTCCAGAAACAGTAAATGCTCCTAATACTCATTTTACTGCTTAGAGGACAAGATGCAATTATTCAGGCAAGAAAGGGCCCAACTCTTAACCATGCTTGAGGGCAGAGGAAGGAGGTCAGGGAGAGTGGTCAGATCAGCACGCCAGAAAGAGACACCACCACCCCCAGATCCTTGGGAACTCCCAATGCCAAATTCCTTTGCTCCCAAAAGGGAGCTGTATCCCTCAGGTCCATGTTGGAGCTTGGTATGGCTCAGGTTGTTGATACTCACTTTCTCACATCTCCACAGCCTTCAAACAGTACCAAAGATCAGAATTTATTCCTCTCCAGGGCGAGAGTTCTAGCTCTCGAGCTATATATGGGCCCTTGGCCTGGCAGCTCCTGATACAGGAGAATGTCTTTGCACATTATACTTGTAACCCATTGCTGGGATGCAGTAAAGAAAAGTTCTCAGGTTCTCAAATTTTTCCAGATAAGTACACACAGCCAGGCACAGATGTCCAAAAAATAAACAAGTGAAAACCAACCCACCCATAGAGTTTGTCCCTGAATTACTGGCCAGCTATTTCAAATGCACCATGTGAAAAGTCCAGGACCAACACTTGCAACAGCATAACACGTGATCTTGGATGGGAACTACACGTTGGTTCAATTCATTTCCTCAGGATTCTGGTGGCTCTTGAAGACGGAGAAGGAAAGATTCAGACTCCCTTATGCAAGTCAGCTTTGTGCAGCTCCCTACTGTTAATCCACACTGACAGCTGAAACCCACCCTCGCTCCAAGGGCTGACACCCTCTGAAGGATTCCTCGGCCCTCCAAACGGCAGGCTCCTTTCCCTTCCAAGGCCAAGACTGCAGAGATGACATTGCCCACACCGCGTTGTTTCCTCTCTCAACGCACCAACAGCTGTGGCTTGGCGCCTGTCCTACTCCCACACCGCATGAGTGCAGCCTGGGTGACAGCCGGGCTTTCTGGCAACTGTTTTGGGGGCAGAGCCAGGATCACTGAAAACAAATGTTGCTGCTTCAGCGCGAGCAGCAGCAGCTCTCACCCTGGGACCTGGGCAGTGAGGAGACAGTGAAAGCCACAGGCTAAGCCAGCAATTGATTTACCTTCATCCAAGGGAAGATGGAAGGATGATAGGAAAAGGCTAGGGTGAGACGCTCTAGTCTGCGGTCTGTGCAGAGGTACATGCTGAAATTCAGGAGTCATTCCGCTGAGGTTAACATAGTCAAAGCAGATAACTATGAAGTAAACTGGCTAGATCTGCAGCACCTGTTAAGATACTGTTGGGGCAGTCTGCAGAGTTGAAGACTGAGGTCTGTTCCCTTGAAGCTGCAGGGAACAATTCAGGCCTCCTGAACATGGAGAAAGTCCCTGTTACACACTTCTCTGCTTTTCTCAGGTCACATTGCTTTACTGCCCCTTTCTTCCCAGACAGCACAGAAGCCAAGCACACACAGACCAGCAGCTCAGCTCCCATGGCAATCAGCAATCCCACAGAGCCCTCCTGGGTCACAGCAGGACTGGAGGAGAGCCAAGATCCAGGCCCAAAGCCTCACAGAAACAGACCTACAGCAGTCCGACTGTACTTTCCTATGGCTCTGCCAGAACAATTCTAAGGTAAACCAAAAAATCTCTAAAAATACAATACAGGAGGAAGGTCTGACAGACAAAAACATTGCAAAACTGTTCCTGATCTGGAGACTCCCTGCATCCCCTTCCTCCCCATCCAAAAAGGTCCTTAATAGCTGTTGCACAACTGAGAAGGTGTGGGATGTTACTCTGAGCATTCACCCCACTGCTGCCTGCCTTCCTCCCCATGCCTGCACACCATGGGTGCCCGTTAGCTGCTTGGAAACTTGAGAACATAAAAAGGACTTTTTAAATCAATACCATTTAAAGGAGAGGAGGAAAAAAAAAAAACCCACACACACAAATTTGAGAGCAGTTCTGGTTCTGTCCAGCCTGACACCTCACCGCAATACCAGGAAAACATCCCAGATTCTGCTCCCCTGGCAGCACTCAGCATTTGACCTCTTCTCTGTACGGGGATGCAGAAAAAAGCATCCAGCATCCTCCTTCTGTTTCCAAAGCATTTTCTCAGGGAGATGCGTCACCCACCTGATACTTGCCAAAACTGACGCTTTCAAACACACTTTGGCCAAGGTGAACACAGCAGTGAGATTCCCCAAAACTGCCCAGAATCCGCTGTCAAAACCGCCAATAAAAGAGCCACACACTAACAACACACTCACTGGCCAGATCTTCCAGGATAACCTCAGCTGAGCTTCTGGGTTCAAAGTCAGACATATTTAGTTTTGTTCAGTGCTAGATGTCATAAACTTTAGCAGTTTGGAGAAATGCATTAGAAGGCATAGGAACAAACAATGCTATAGGCCTAGCAGGCATGGCTCACTTTGGCATCTGCGTGATAGTAAATCTGGCCAAGTGCACAGAGCAGAGTACAGACCTAACTGCAGCACACAGAACACCTCACCAAGCCAAGGTTACATACACCCTCCTTCACCCATCTGCTGCCTCACCTACGATAAATAGGAATGCCATGTACCAATTTAAAAGCTTTCTCTGATTTTAATCAGGCAACACCACCAGAAGTTAGAAATAACTACTGCCTTCAGGGGTCTTGCTGGATCTCTGTTGCATCAGGACCAACTCCACCAAAGAAAAAAAAAATCCCACACACCATCATTAGAATTAAAGATTATAAATACACTGCAAGGTCAGAATCAGGCCCAGCACTATTATTCCAGATGAAAAATTCATCTCACGGTGACCTTTTAAATGAGGTGACTTTGCTACAGGCCTTAAAAGGAACACCCTATATATAATCAAAGTCAAGTTATAATAATTTTTGTCCTATGGATGGATTCTTGTAGAAGCTCATTGTATTTATTATTCTGTTTAACTGAAAAAGCAGTGTCTTTTATTAACACCTACGAAGCTTTCAAACATCACCACTATTTTTCCCTTCATTATGAAAGGGTTTTCTCGCTGTGCCTCAAGTACCTTTCTATTAAGTCCACATAAAGCTTTTGTGACCACTTCTGCCATAGGGTCTTGCAGAAGTTGCAATTTAATCTCATTAAATACTAGGCAGGAGTAAAATAATCTTTTGAGGAAGGAAATTACCCATCAAACAACCCTGCAACAACTACTGTGGAAATTAACCTTTAAGTACAGGTTGCTTCTGCTAAGTGACTAGTTAACGAGAGTCTCCACCCGAGATGAAATACACAGGAAATGGGCTGGAAAGGCACATCAGATCTTCCCCTCTGTCATGTATCATTATTATTTCTTTTCTTTTCTGCTTTGCCCAAGTAGAACTGTATTGTAGCAAACAATAGGCAATGACACACCAATGCCACAGCTGTAATCACGTTTTTTTGAGCTAGGACTGTAACTGCAGGATTGAGAGTCAGGGAGTAAATTATGTGCCACAATATAAAAGCAGCACAGAGCGGGAGAGGGCAAAAGCAGCTTTAAGGGAAGCCCTGCGGTCTCCAGATTCTGGGCCCTCGTGTAAATCAAAGCAGCTTCCCCAGGGCCTGTCCCTCAGGGCTACGCAGCAGAAAAAGAAACAGTAGTGACAGATACTAACCTCCTCAGAGATCCCCAAGAGGGATACCAGTCTTCCATCTTGCCATCTCCCTGCCTTGACATCCCTCCTCCTCCCCAATCCCTCGTGCCGGAAAACGCAAGAGGATGATACCTGGAGCTCCATCAGGGTCCCTGTACACCACTGGCACAGGAGCTAGAGAGCTTGTCCTCATCCCCCAGAGATTCCCCAGTCCTATCCACCTCGACTCTGAGCTCTTCTGCACTCATGTTAGCTATTCAACCTCCATTTTTCCATCCCACAGAGACATTAGTGCCTGCTGGCCAGGACTACATGGATTAGTTAACTGATGGGTTCTGTTCTCATACCCGAGGAGGCCGATTTTGAAAACAATGCATTAAGGTCAAAGGAGAGGGAAAGGAATTGGACGCAGAGCATGCAACATTATTGGAGGGTGACAGTCCACAGGCATAACACAGCACGGGTCTATTAACAAGCAGTCTTTCTTGAACACACAAACACTGCTAACAGCCTGCAGAGAGTCCAATCTCCCATTCTACACACTGCCTCTTCAGCTCCGCAACAAATACACCACACCCTGAGCCACAGGCTATGCATTTCCCTTAGTCCTATCAACCTTCCCACTCAGACTCCTGCTCTCAGCTCCAGCGACTTTTGATCCTCATCCAGTGTAATGCCAAGGTGAACAAGGTCAGGATCTGAATCCAGAGGATGAGCCTCCCTGATGCACTTCCATTTATAGCTGCGATTCTGCCCTATCGCACTTTTCACCCGAGAGCACCACTGAGAGCATGGGAATCACAGCCACCGTGGAAGCAGCAAGTGTTAAAACTACACTGCAAAGATGAGCAGCAATTTTGGATGTTTGACCTTGCCGTTTGCCATACTAATATGTTAGTTTGTCCTCTGTAGCCCACCACCATGCTCCAGGTGATCCTACAGGACGGTTCTGCTTGCCAACTTTACCCCAGGCCGGGAGTTGCTTGGAGTTTGGCAGGACTGGGGTGCAAGTGGTGCTTGTTGTTATTCTAAGGGGATTTATTTTCAAGCCTCCATGAATTTGATAAGTATATGCCAGAAATAAACTCAAATCCAATCTTCTTGACCTAGACACCTTACCTAGTTTTGATCCTTGGGGACGTTCAGATCCCACATTCAAATACAAATAAGACTTGGGACAAAACCTGCACTCTGGCCACCACATGGTGTTTCTTGGGCAGTGGAGTAAATGAGGAGTAGTATTCTTAGTCAGTACAAAAGAAAACA